TTCTAAAATCACCCATGTCTGTCCATCTCCATAGCCATTACCCTACTATAAGCCACCACCGAGCAATGCTTAGATTATTGCGATAGCTTCTTTCCATTGGTCTATTGCAGGCTAGGCCAAGTTTGAATCCATTCTCTATTCAGTAACCACTGTAAACTTGGACAAACTGGATTATATCACCCACCTTTACTCTAAACATTTGGTGGCTTCCTATTCTCCTATTGTTCTTAAATAAAGCCATACCTTCCTCTTCAGCCTCATCCTACACAATCTTCCAACTTCTGCCTCTGAACCTTTGCACAGGTTCCTCCTCCTCCTCCAGTAGGCCTCCTTCCTTTGCTCTTCACTAGAAGAATTCCTCTTTATTCTTCAGGTAATGGTTAAGAGGCACTCTCTAACTCACATGTGTTCTCTCTTTCTCCCTCTCCCACCCCACACACATGAGGGATGGGGGTGGTTCTCACTATGTTGCCTAGGTTGGCCTCAAACACCTTGAGCTCAAGCAACCCTCCCACCTCAGTCTACCAAGTACCTGTATTCCCAGATACTTGGTAAACTTGGTAGCCTGGCCACCGTGCCAGGCTTTGCAATCTCTGTCTTTATATCATGCAGTAACTTTCCTGCTCCTTTTCTTTTATGATACCCTGTTCTTTTCCTTCACAATACTCATTATACTACATAATTGTTTATTTATGTATTCCTCTGTTTAACGTCTACTCCCCCACGAGGGTGCTGAGCTTCCTGAAAGCAGGGATCATCCTGTCTTGTCCACCACTGTTTACACTGTATATCCAGCAAATGGCATGTAGTAGGTATTTAAATATATTTACAAAAAGAATCTATAAACTTTAGACACCAGAAGTGGGCAGGGAGCAGTCGGAACTTCCTCCATGCTAACTAAATGTCTTACAAAGGAAATTATAAGCAATACCATCAGAAAAGCACTCCACCTAATGACGACTCTGATGTACTCTCTTTTTTCAGTCATTTTACTTCATTGCCATAGTGAAAAGTGTTGTTTATCCCAGGACCCACAAAGAATTCAGTCCTGAGCATTGAGTTCAATTTCCTTCGGTGGAGTGGGAGGGAGGGGGCTGTAGCTGTGAAAGGAGAAAGGGTTTCCAGTAAGGCCCAATATTATCTTGAAAGGAAACTTCAAGAAAGAAAAAACTTAACCAATAACAACACTGTTTGAATTTTCCCACCTGTTACTAAAAAGAAAGGAAAAAAACAAATCTGTATACATTCATGTGATTTATGTATCACTAAGTTGCCCAGGCTGGCTTTGAGCTTGAGATCCTTCTGCACTAGCCTCCCAAATCACTGGGATTATAGGCATGTGCCACTACACATGGCCCTTGTTTCTTTTTAATAATCCAAACTTCTACATTGACAACGTATTTCAACATCTTACTGCACTTTCCGCTCTTTAAAAATCTAAACTTTATGATATCTAAGTCTTTTCATATTCACCCAAATGCTGTTTTGAGTCTTTAACACGTACGAGGAAATGACCCTCCATCATTCATACTCTCTTCCATATCTGGAAGACTTATAGTATTACGTTTCATTATATTGATTACACAGTGGCCTTCCAATCACCGGGCTGAATAAATATTTTAATAAATCAATAAATATTTCAATCCTTAAAAGGTTATTTCTCCAAATTCTGATACTTTTTATAGCCTAAAATATTTTTTTAAATCAATCTAAGATCCCAAACTATACAACACTAGATAGCAGAGCAGAGGGCTTCACATGCTGATCACCTGATTGTACCCCTCAGACTCCTGTCTGTTTTGTGGTCATGGTACTTAACTGATTCCCATTTAACCAACCCCCACTGAGACCCCAGGTCTTTAACAGATATGTAAGTGAAAGATCGATTTATTTCGATTTTTCCTAACTAAAGGTCACATACTATTTCCTATTAAATGTATTCTATCTATGTGTCAACCTGTTTGGTGTTTTAAAGGTATGTGTCACCACACTAAATTCGAGGCCAGCAAATTGAGTCATGATAAAAAGCACATTCTCTTGACTCCAAATAAATTTGATAGATGGGGACTTATCAAGAAAATAAGTAGAAATATTAGCCCATTGGCTCTTAATGCTCTATTGGCTCTTGAGTTTAAGCATCATACTCATGACAAAAGTCATGCTCTGTTGCACCACTCTTCTTTATACACACTCACATACACAAAGAGTCATACACAGTCTACAGACAAGATTTTAGCTTCTGTTTTGTTTTTAGTTTTTAATGTCTAAGGTGGAGTTAAACCATTAATAACTAGTTCAAAAGACTTTCCTAGCCCAACCAGTATCTTTTTGTTAAACTTCTACCTGTCAGTGCATATCTTATTATCCAAATCTCAGCTACCTTGGGCATCTCGTCAAACTTACTTTAACTGGGTTCCCCCAGCACCTTGGAAAGTCCCAGGAAATGGTAGATGGAAAGCTTACAATTTCACCCACATGTACAGAAGCAAAAAAGCCTTCCACAGCAGTTATAAAAACCCATTAAGTAAGCACCATTTTCCTGCAAGACAATACTATGACTAAGCGGTCATCAGCTCAGGTAATAGAAACAGGAGTAACCGTTTAGGTTTAGAATTACCCTGGAGAAGATGAGAAAACTGAAGATACAGAGACAGAACCCTTCCTGAAAGAGAACTTGAGTTTTCATCTCTCTCAAAGCAGTACAGAACCTTTTGAATCTTTACATTGGCTTCATTAGTCCAGGAACCCAGAAACACCTTACAAATATCAATTAAGTATGGCAACATGCTTCATTTATAAATAGGGAAAGGGGGATGTTTAGAGTCAGAGCAACCCAACAATGAGTCAGAACCAGAATGGACACCAGAACCAGGACTCTGAGGCCCCATTTCTGGCAGGGAGATGTGAAGTCTTTCAAGGAGATGAAATATTCACATAAGAAACAGATGGCAGAGATGGAAATGAATATCCACACATATTGGGATAGGGCAAGACAAAGAAGAGCCAACAGCCAATAACCCAAGGCCTCAAATTTCATTTAATCAGATGGAAAATTAGCATTGCTTCAGCCCCTCCTTAGCAAAGAGGGTGCTCACACTTATGGCTTGTAAGTTGATGCTATGAGATATCCCATCCATCATCATATTAAGGCTCTACATTTTTATCTGATTTGAGCTTAGAAATGACTATTCACCTTGGGCCAGATAAGCAAACCAGATATTTCATTTGCAAGCATGCAGGCTGAAAATGAACCCACCATAAAGAAAAGAGCATGGGAACTACAAGCCCTTTGGCCTTTCCTGTCTACCTCACAAGGAAAAGTTAGAATGTTCTATATATCTAAAATATGCAAGGGGAATCAGTGTGCTTCATGAACTGTCAGGAGTTTGGTAGTAACACGACTGGTTAGCATATTCAAGGTCAGCAAAGTAACCAATTAGGCTGATCAAGGCTATCTTTGGCATCCCAGATAAACATAATCAAATATTCAATGGGGTTATGACCTGCCCTTTCCAAACACCTGTGAAAGAGAATAAATCACTAACAATGCAGTTAATTAGGTTTTGCTGGGCTTTTACTGTGGAAGTGAGATATTCTGACAAAGAACTTTCTACTGGGGAGTGGCAGGTGAGAAGCCACCCACTTCTAGTGGGACCAAGGAAGAGCTTGACAAAGAAACAATGCCCAATTCTGCTCAACAAAGGGGTCAACTCTGGAACCATCCATTACTGGGAAATCTTACTAACTTGAGACCTAGGGCAAACATCCCACTTTTCCAGTGTTCTTCCTGGAAGAGCAAATTCTTTTCACCAACCTCCTAGGAAGGAGAAAGAATGGGTGCTAGCAATCACAGAGCAGTGGACATTTCCCCATTCAGGTCCCCACCTCCTTCCTCATCCACCCAGCACTGATCCTTCTCTGTCCAGGGGTTAGCTTCTGGGGATGTCAGGAAAATTAATTTTACCGGTTAATTTCCTCTGTGCTCTGGCCCATTCATTCTCAGCTCAAAGTGTCCTGTTTAGTGACATACTCAGGAGGCCTTCCACATGAGTTACTGGGTGTATCAGACCCCACCCTAATAAAATGAATTCGCCAGCCCACGTATAGTTTCAATTCATCAAAAATTCATTTCGTGCTTACTGTGTGCCCGGGCCTGAGAGGTACCCTGAAGATAGATTCAAACCTGTCCCAACTTTCAAAAAGCCTCAATACTACGAGAGCTGGATGAGAAGCTGAAGCTAGGTCAGAATGAAGTATAGGGGAGCCCTCTCGGACTGTGACTTCCACGCCCATTCTGAAAGGGACCCAGTGCGGCGGCCACTGGCCCAGGGGTCGAGCCTGCGCCGCTGTCCCTTTCCCTCAGCCCTGGTCCTCTAGGTCCCGGCCCGCACTCACTGCGTCTTCCTGCGGCCCTGGTCGCGGTGCAGCTCCCGCAGGTCCACCTCGGCGCGGCCCAGGAACTTGTCGAGTCCGAGCAGCGCGCGGTGCAGCACGGTGAGCTGCAGGGTGGCGGCGGCCGCTGGCACAGCTCCGGAGGACAGCAGCGGCGGCAGCTCGAAGGTGGCTTCCTCCCTCCACACCGGCGCGCCGAGGCTGCGCTCCGACACCGAGGTGGCGTACTTCTCTTTGCCCACCTGGATCACCGCGTACGCGTCGCTCGTACCCCCAGGGCCCTTGGCCCGCAAACCCCGCGCCTGCAGCACCGTCACCTGCACATGGGTGGGGGACCACACGGCCCCCGGGCCCCGGCCCGCCGAGGCCGCCAGAGACATGGCGACGATACTGCAGCGGGCTAGGACACCAGGAGAAGATCGCGGCCGCTCGGGGCCTGTTGGGCCAGCCCCGCTGTCCAGGCCGCTTTAAGGCTTCCGGCCACGCCCCCGTCAGGACCCGCCCCTACCCTGCCGGCCCCCGCCCCACCTGCCCGCGCGGGGCGGCCTCTGGGGCGCCGAGGGCGGGGCTGGCGCCGCCGAGGAAGAGGCAGGAGGTCACGTGGGCAGGGGCGGGTGGAGGAGAGGGCTTCAGGAGTTCTGAGGTTGGTGGTCGGTGAGGGTTGATGTCCGCGGCTGCCAAGGTTCCACCGCCCTAGGAGTCAGACCTAGTTTACAGTCCAGCATCGCCAAGTGGCAGATGTGTGATCTTTTGCAGATTACTAATACATTTTTTAAAATATTTACTTACTTATTTTTTAGTTGTAGACGGACACAATACCTTTACTTTATTTATTTATTTTTATGTGGTGCTGAGGATCAAACCCAGGGCCCCGCACGTTCTAGGCGAGTGCCCTGCCGCAGAGCCACAACCCCAGCCCAGATTACTAACACATTTAAGTCTCAGTTTCTTCATCTGTAAAAGGAGATTGAAATCACCTCCCCGCCCCCAGAATTGCTGTAAAAGAAAAATAATGCCTTAAAGTTTTTAGCACAGTGCTTAGCACCTGTGAGTTCTAAGTAAATGGAAACTCAGAGTGATAATGAAGATGACTCCCGGTGGTCTTTCTACTTTGGACCACTGGAAGACGGCAGGAGCCTTGGAAGGTGAGGATCTTTTGAGGGTCTGAAAAGGAGAAGGTAAGTTGAGGGGCATGACATGGGTGAGGGAGTGTCCTCTTCTTCCCTGCTCTCACCAAATAAGGTGAGGCTAAGTTAGGAAAAGTGAAGAAAGGGGGAACTAGAAATGGGATTGCCAAACCAAACATCAGGACCAGCGTCCAGCCACCACCCAGCCCCTTAGTTCCCCATTTCTCCCTGCCTAGGTCAACTTCATTCTCTTCCTGGGCTTCATAGTTGGGCTTCCACTCAGCCACTTCCTTGTTCCAAGTGTCTATTAGATTGGTTGCTTCCCTTGAGTTCTCAGTCCTGGTTCAAAGGCTCAACTCCTCCACATTGGTCATCAGATTGGAAAAGTTGCTCTGTAGGGTTTAAAGTTTACAACTAAGAAGAGGTATGGAACAGAGACATGACCTGTTCAAGGTCCCACAGCAGAGCTGGGAGGAAAACCCAGGTTTCCTGACTCCCAATCTAGTGTTGACTGCATCTCTTGCTTCTTTTAGATGCTCAAAACCCCAGCCCTGGATCACACCTTGATTTTATTTCCCACATGATCTGCAGGCTCTCCTCCCTGTCATCCACACTGTGTGTTGCTTCACTAACCTTCACTAATCCTGAAATGTTGCCTTACCACCAGCTGCATTTGGTTTCACACTCAAGAGATTTCAAGACACTCCTCTTTAGGTCCCACCCCAACTCATTCTCCTCTACCTCCTGAACAAACAAACATGCAGCCCAGATTATCTCTGTCCCTCATGGTGTTCACTCCTTGTCCCCTTGGTTGCCCTTGCCATCCTCTCTGCCTATCCAGGGTCTCCTCACTACAAGGCTTTGCTCGAATTTTTCCAAGGTTTGATTTCCAATAGTCACTTTGAGGGCAGGGACCAAGCAGTGACTTATTCATCTTGTCCCTTTCACAATTCCCAGTAGAAACCTGGGCACACAGTAGGTTTTCAGGAAATAGTGTCAAAGAGTTTTCAGGCTATTCCAGCCAACTTTGAGTACATAGTGTTTCCTTTTACCATGTAGGATATTAGAAGATAAATATGCCTCAAGTTTGCAACTGGGGGCAGATACAGTGTGAGACAGGCCTATTTAGTACATTGTAAATATTTAATGGTGATAAGGAGGTCGAGGTACAGGGCAGCAAAGCCTAACAGAACAGAATGTTTTTGGTACCATTTCCCCTTCTTGAAGATCCATTAACTTCATTCAATCTCATGGCTCAATTCATTTTCATATAGATTTATTTAGAATGTGCTTTGTGCCAGGCACATATTAGATGCTTCACAAAGCTGAATAAGAATCAGTTCCAGGCACCCTATGATAATGTAAAGGAACTCCTGTATTCATGAACTGCTTTCAGTGTCTTAAGGAGAAAATGGTTTCTCTAGGCAGATTGATTTTTATGAAATTGCACTGAGTTGGGCCCTTAAGAATATTTCAGATTCAAAGGGCAGAGAAGGAGACAGAAAGGCACAGCATTTGCTAAGGAGAAAATGGAACAGTCAAAGCAAAAGCAGGGGCACCTAAGAGTCATGGTATGTTCAAGGGTACCCAAGGAGGCTGAGATATAGGATATTTAAGAGGGCTAATAGGGGTGGGTGGTAGAAATAGGTCATCCATCGTGGGCCAGATCATGCAGATTATAAACACCAGTCTAAGGCTGGGCATGGTGATGTACCCCTATACTCCCAGAAACTCCGATGGCTGAGGCAGTTGCTAGCCTGGACAACTTAGCAAGACCCTGTCTCAAAATAAAAAGGACTAGGGATGTAGCTTGGTGGTAGAGCATCCCTGGGTTCAATCCCCAAAGAAATAAAAAAAAACAGTCTGAGGAGTTTATTCCAAAGTGTTGGACATGGGTAGCCAGCCTTCAAAGGGCTTTGAGCAGTGATATCATTAGGCTGTGCTCAGGTTGCTGGGCAGATGTGATCAGCCAAGGTCACAGCTAAATATCTTCCTTCATTTTCACTTAGGGATTGTCTGCCTCCTCCCCATCTAGCTGCCCCTTCCCCATGCTAGGTATCTTGTACTGAATTAAATAAGGCATACACTTTCCTCTTTGGTTGCCCTGACTGTCCAGTGCTTCATCTCAGCTACACAAAGTTTAGTTTTAGGGTCAAAACTGGCCCTGGGAGTTAACTTTTCACCTCTGGTCTCCTTTCTACCCCCACACTCACATTGTCAGTGCAGCTTCCACAAGGAAGAAAGCGAGGAATGAAACCTAGCTGGGCAGCTTCATAGGCCCGGAGGGAAATGAAGCCTCTCTTCCTGTCATGGAAAAAATTAGAAAGAGGGAAGGGAGCAGGAGAGGAAGGGAAAATTCTGAGCACCTGTGACCCTGTGTGTTTGGGTTTCTGTAAGTTGCAGATTCTGGCTAAAGCAGAGGGGGTAGGATGGGGAGGGCGAGGCCACCTCACCACCAGGAGAAATCAAGGTTGTCCTCACTGGGGACACAGGCAGGGGGTAACTCAGAGGTGTGGGGCCCATCTCAGGCAGGAATTGGAAATAGGTGAGAGAAGAAGGAAGCCCCAGCAGAGGATGTGCCTCAGAGCCGTCTTCTTGGTGGTCATCCAAGACAGAGCACATGGTCCTCAAGACTCAGCGACTTACCACCCAGGAGTAAGAAAATCTGTCTTCTCTCAATCTTACAACCCTACCTTCTGGCCCGGGAGATCACAGGCACAGTGACAAGGGCAATGACAAAGCTGGCGCCCTGCCTGGCTTTCCCTTCTCTCCCACAACTCCTCTGACCTCTTCCACTGGCCAAGGCTACCAAACCTTCACAATTTCCACTGAATTCCAGGAGTGTTTGTAAATACCTCCCACTGCCTGGGTGCGGTGAGCTGGCTGCTCTTTCCTCCCATCCTGCCCCGCCTCCAGCTCAGACTGAAAGAGGAAGAGAGTTTCTGTGGGCCCTGAGCACACAGACCAGGTGCCTGGCAGGTTAGACTGGACAGGTGACACACCTGCCCTCCTCCAAAAGCAGCAGACTCCCAGAGGCCAAAATGCTCCTGGGCCCTTCTGCAGGCAACAGCCTGGAGCCAGGGCAGCCCAGTTGCTCAGTTAGATCAGATCAGGAATGCAGATTTGTGTTGAGACCAGCTGAGAAGCGTCTCCCACCATGAGGAATTCCGTGCAGCCACACTAGGGGTGAAGAGAAAGGAGATGTGAGGGAGATATTTCCACCACCCTGCGAACTGCCTGTCACTCCACCCTGCAGCTCTTCAGCCCCTCCACACCCCCCATGGGAACACCAATTTAAAAATCCCCTCTGCGGGTTCCTAATGGGCTAGTGCGCTATCCCAAGGAGGGGCAGAAAGCAGCTGGTAATGGCTGCTTGTCTTTCTCCTTTGCCTAGCCCCTGGGGTGCGGTGACAAACGTCCACACATAGTGATTCATTCACCTGACTCCTGGTAAACAACTGTCTGGCTTTTCCGTGTCCAGCTGCCTCAGCCTCCTGACTGCTTGGTTGACTCTGACTGCCTTCCAGGCCCAGGCTTGAGAAGCAAGGGGTGTTCTGCCTAGTGGATCAGCAAGGAGGCAGGGGGCTCCAGTTCCTGGCATCAGCCTCTCTTCCCATGGCCTAAGGGGCAGGGGGGCGGGGCAAGAATATTTGAACTGGACTGAGCTGCTGGCCACTGGTGAATAGCTAGCCATCCTTTCTACAACCTCATGCTGGTATTGCTTTGCTTAACAAAGTTTGTGTCATAGATAACACAAAGGTATTCTCTTCCCAATTTGTCCTTCAAACAAGGCCTTGGATTTCACAACTCCAAGGCTGGAGGACATGTGTACGCTACCTTCCCACCTTTTATACAAAGTCTTCCTGGTGGCTCCTATTCAGAATTCTTTCTTGTTTCCTAATTCATTTTTTTATTTTTGTTTTTTTAATATTTTTTTAGTTATTCATGGACACAATATCTTTATTTATTTTTATGTGGTGCTGAGGATCGAACCCAGTGCCTCACATGTGAGAGGCAAGAGCTCTGCCACTGATCCCCAGCCCCAGGCCCTCATTTTTTTGTTTTTAACCACATTTTTTATTGGTGCATTATAGTTGAACACATGGGATCCGTTGTTGCATATTTATTTATACATGCACACAATATAATTCAGCCAATATCACCCCTCAGCCTTTCCCTCCTCATATATTTCTTGTTCAGTCCCTGTTTTTATTTATTGTAATCATGTCCAAAGCAGAAAGTTGGTAGCTCACCTCTAGAAATTACCATTTCTAGCTGCCCAAGTCCCTGTAACTAGAAGGCAGTTCAAGTTAGGTACAAGAGACATAAATGACTTCAACCTTCAGGACTCAAACACTCAATCACTGCTGCCGCCACCTTTAACACACATATCCGGTACAACCATCTTTTAAAGATGGTTCTTTTTTTTCTAATTAGAAAAGAAGTATGTGTTCTTTGTAGATACAGACCCCACTCCACTTTTCCAGAACTTTCTGTGCCATTAAGGGAAAGCAGAATTTTTTAATGTTCCGAGGAGAGCTCATCAGGGACTATTCCCTGGCCTCTCTCTAATCCGCCTTGAGCCTTCACTCTCTCAACTACTGGGACCCCTGGCCACAGTCCCCTCCACGCAGAGCTGGCCAAGGGGTGGATGTGAACAACTCCACATCCCCTGAACTCCTCTCCTGTTTCCATGCCACTACACAGGGCACTGGCTGATGAGTATGTTGACTTTTGAGCCTGAGGCTAAAACTAGGAAACTGAACCCAACATGTAAGAGTTTACAGAGTCTCAAGAGGAGTACCAATAAAGCTCTCTACCTAGGGACAACACCTACACCAGGTGTGTCTGTCTCTCTTGCTCTCCCCTCACCCCCTGCCTTTCTCTGGAGAACCCAGGGCCTCTAGCATGTTAGCCAAGTTCTCTGCCACTGAGCCACACTCCCAGCCCCAGGTTCACTGTTCAGGTCCCCTCTTCTCACCTGCCTCTATAGTCCCTCTTATGAATCTCTACCCTCT